AGAAAAATCAGTTAACTTTACAGTGATCACTTAACCAAATTATCAAAGTTAACTTAGTAGTAAAAAGGCATATGGACATCATATATTCCCTGATCTGATGCACTAAGGATGGTACAACAACATATCTGTACTACACTTGGGAAAAAACATATTTTTCACTCTAACGAAAAGAAAACATTAGACAAACCCATGTGGATGCACATTTTACAAAATAAGTAGCCGGTACTCTTTAGAAGTGTCAAGGTCATGACAGGCAAAGAAAAATTGAGGAACTGTAACTGTTGGGTAGACTAAGGAGACATGATGATTGGATCCTGGAACAAGAAAAAGGCATTAATGGGAAGACTGGCGAAATTCAAATAAAACCTGTAGGACAATTAACAATATTATAACAATGCTAATTTCCTGTAGTATTTCTGTAACTTTTTTGTAAATCTAAATTTGTTTCAGAAAAAAAAAAATCTGTTTTTTAATGCAACATTTCTAGGTGTGAGATCTTACTGTTTCAACCCCATTGTGAGAAATGACCCATTTTGACTAGCTTTTATAATTTTCATATTAAGAGAGTTTATCAAATGATATCAGATTCAGAATATGTTTGTTGCTGGACTGCAGCAAACACAGTAAGACAACAAGCCAATGAATGAAAAACACACTTCTAAAACTCTGACGGCATACTCTTCACAAAGAAAAAACAGAAAAAAGACATGAACATCCTAGTCATAAAACAATGGCCCACAACACAAATAAAATAACCTGAAACATAAAATGTCAAGAACTGAACAAAACCAACTGAATCAACATATGACGAGATGATGACGTGGTGGGTTTCTGTCGTGGTCAATTTTTATGAGTCTGGTAAGGAAGGGCTGTCATTAGGTAAAGGTTGAATTGGTTCTGGTACATACCCAGATTTTAAGTCAGTTATCCTCAAACAGTTTGTAGCATCCAGTCCCACTTTTCCATTCCGGACCACGCTAGATATGAAAGGAGAGAGCATTGGAGATATTCGGTTCAAGGCCACTTCTGGGGACATTTTAACTTGACTTGTAAATCACCACTGAAAGTAGAAGGAAAGAATGATGATCAGGGCTTACAAATGGACTAGATACAACACGCTTCCTGAAAACTGGACAGCATACAGCAGTTCCTCTTGCAGGAACAAATAATTCCTTTCCCATCTCTAGTGCAGCCTCTTCCAGTGATCTTCCAGAAGAAACCACCTCACTTCTGCTCAGCTACTCAGGACTGGGACTACACCACTGCTTTTCAGGAACAGAAGGAACCCTGAAATACAATTCCCTCTTCCTTCCCAAAGCTGATTTCTTCACTGCCATACTCTACTTAAAGTGGTCCCACTCTATCTCACAACTGGCTTGTTCTATTTTAGTTGAGTCCAAGGAGCCCTTGCTAGCAATCCTCTATCCCAACACAAAAACACAGACATCACTGAGTTAGCAATCTCTCCCTCTGTGTCCCCACAAGGAGTAAAAACTTGATGGATAATACCATATAAAACCCTACAACAGGCTAACCTGCTTGCAACTATTCCTTACTAGAAATTATTTACTGCTGATATACTTTTTTTTTTTTTTTTTTTTTTTGGAGACGGAATCTCACTCGGTTGCCAGGCTGGACTGCAACAGCACAATCTCGGCTCACTGCAACCTCCACCTCCCAGGTTCAAGTGATTCTCCTGCCTCAGCCTCCTGAGTAGCTGGGACTACAGGCATGCGCCACCAGGCCCAGCTAATTTTTGTATTTTTAGTAGAGACGGGGTTTCACCATGTTGGCCAGGATGGTCTCGATCTCTTGACCTCATGATCCACCCGCCTCGGCCTCCCAAAGTGCTGGGATTACAGGCATGAGCCACTGCGCCCGGCCCACTGCTGATATACCTTTCTTAATAATCTTTCCGTCCACAATGTAGTAAAACTACCTGTTTATGTGATCTCTTCCCTGCAGGGACTACATTTTGAATCCCCAAGGTTTAACAGAAATACCTGGCACATGCTAAACACTCAATAAACATTTTTTAATAAATAAATGAGTAAGGGGACAAAAGTTAGAGAAATATTTCTGTATGGAGAAAAGATAATGTGCCCCCCCAAAAAAATTTGGTAGGGGAATACATATAACAAAATCCAAGGGATAGATATAGCAAAAATCTACTTGACAATTAAATTATGAAAACATCACCTATGCAGCTATCAAGCAACACAGACTAACATGGATCTTAAGGTATTTGACTTTAAGGCACTAAGTCCTTACACTTAAAACCACAAAAGTAGAACCAATACATCATATCTAAATTATCTGGAAACTCACGGGGCTGGGGGAGAGAGTACACGAATTCTTCTTAATAGATTTCTAAATGAAAGCCTCTTCCTTCAGAGGAATAAGTCAATTCAAATGATCGTTTCCTTCCTCAATTTTAAAGAATAATGCCACATCAAAAGAAAATTAATTTCCAGCAAGTTACCAGTAAATGATGTTCTGGTTCTAGTTTTCATACATTATACCACATGAAAACTTACAAGTCCTTGCTAAAATAAATGTTGAAAAGTAGAACTTGTTTCAATGTATTATTTCAGATAGTAAATAATAAATTTATTTGCTAATTTGATAGCTCAAAAAATAACACTTTGACCCTATATAGTGATGACACCCAGAATTATCTTCAAGATACTTATAACACCTTTATACTTATACTTCAGTTCCAAAATCATTCTTTTTGTAAATATAAAACAAGCTCTTCTTCTGACCACTTAACAGATGACCTCCCCCCCGACTATTCTCTCATTTCAAAGTAAGACTAAACATCTAACACTGTACTACCAATCATAAAAATCATGTACTTTTTAAAATGTTTTATCACTTATAAGGAGCGTCCACATATACTACTGCAGTTGATCTTCACAAGCCTGAGGTAGTAAAGAATTTTAATTCCCATTTTGCAGATAATATGGGTAATTATTATCATTTGATTCTGAACAGTATACTAATCCACATCATAATTTTGAAGCCTATCTTTTTCCATTCGCCAACATTTCCACCTTCATGTCTATGACACAATTCTTGAAGGGATGCTTATCAAAGTCATATGCTAAGTACAAATATACCCATGTTATAAAAAAGCAAAAGGGTCTCACCTATATTACAAAATTGTTCTTCTGTGTTTCTTCCCACAGTACCTATTATTACTTTATCTCTTGTTTCTACAAAAGAAGGAAACAGAACCAACACATTCTAGACATCTATCTACCCGCTATCAGGCATTATATTACTCACCTCTATCTGTAATTTCATTTACTTCCCCCCAACTCTGTTCCCTGAGAACAATAATTGTTCCCATTTGACAAATGGAAGCTAAAGAAACTTGACAAATAGAAAATTAAAGCTCAACAAAATAGAGTAACTTGTTGAATGTTGGAAGTTGGAGCATCAGAATTCGAATCTGGCTTCTTCAAGTCCACTATACCCATCTTCCTCTCAAATAAACATTGATAACTTCGATCACCAAAGAGAAAAGCATCAAGGTGATTTTTTAAAGCGTATATCTTATAAAATGTGAACAGACAAAAAGTAACAAATTTAAACAAATGATTGCTTTACCACTAAAAACAAACTGGACTATTGCTGGGCTACTGCTGAACCTGTTCTGAGTGATTCACTAGAAAAATGTTAAAGGGAACAACCTTGCTCTAGAAGCCAAACCATACTAAAAGTGACACCAATACATCCTAATTCAGCAACGGTCGTGACTTTAGAATGACACCTTAGGGAATCAATTCTCTTTATTTCTAGGGCAGCCATAATACTATCTTTTGACAGTGCAAGGTTTCACGCAGTTTTAAAATCTATTTCAACCACAAGGAGGTGTGACTTCTCTTAAAAAAAAAAGGGGGGGGGGGGGGGGGAGACAAAGACTCCAAAAAAAGAGGTCACTTAGCCAAAAACACTGGTCCTTTGGTGCAGTGAACCGGGTACATGGACAGGGAGTCACCACCAGTAGTAACTCTTACGCATGGAAGCACTATAATACACCCCAGATACACAAATATTTATGGTGGTCAGAGTCCCCTGAACGCTTCTCCTGTAATTTGTATTTCCTGATTTTGACGTATTGCAAAAGGAAAATGCAAAATTACAATTTTTCCAAGGGTCTGCTACCCCAAAATAAAGTTACAAAAGGTCCTTTGATGAGAGGCCTGGGGATTACAAAGACGTCTAAAGCACCATCCAGGTTCTTGCAATTAAAATTAGATGACAAACACGGAAACATGTGCCCTGCTGACGCCATGGAACGGAAAGGGGTGGCATCCTGCTGCGTCACGTCGACGTCATACAGCGCACGAGGGAAGTTACACTGGGGAAGCAATTTCCCCCAAGGGGCAACATTCGAGAAAAACAAGCTAGCTCAGACCCGAAGAATGACCACCCCACTCTAGGGGACGTCTTAAAAGGGACACTCTCCCCTCTCCCAAACTGTATGGTTCCCCTCATCAGGCAACAAGGAACTGATACTCGGGGTTTACAGGGACCAGGGGATGGGCCATATATGGAGAAAGAGACGCATCTGGCCTTGGGGGCTCGTTCTTGAGGGGATCAGCGTGATGGGGATGAAAAGGGCATCTTTGGAACGGGGGCCTTCCCCATAGGAAGAGGCGAGTCCCCTGGCCATATTTAAACCACAGTTCTCCACGCCACCTGTGCGACTCGGGATCCAACCTCCCCGCACCAGCCCCAGTCCAGGTACCTGGAACTTAGTCCGATCGGTAACCGGCGACTACGTGGGGTACAGGTACCCGAGCGCGCCCCCGACCGACGCACCGACCTGCGCGCGCGCCGCGGGCCGGATGCGTGCGCACTCCCCGGACGTCCCGCCCCGCCCCCTCTGCGGCCCCAGAGCTGGGCGGCGTGCGCGCCCCCGCGCCGCGCGGAACCGGGCGCTCGGAAAGGCGTCCCCGCGGTGCCTGACAGTTCCTTCCTCAGTGCCTGCCCCGTGAGTGGCGAGGAGCGCGGAGTCTTGCCATATCAGGAGGGCCCTGTTACGTGAGGCTGTGCACGGAGACTATTCCAGGAAGAAGAGGGGACACTTGGTGGGCGGGGTGATTTCGGGCAGTCAGGTGGGCGACCCGCGTAGGCGTCTGAAAGGCCCGCGTCGTTAGGGAAGGCAGGAGCGGCGTCTGTGGTTACAGGGTTAGGCAAAGGGCAGAGGTCAGCGTCCAGGTTGGACAGCAGCACCTTTGAGCGATGGCGGCGTCTGGGGAACCCTGGAGGCAGTGGCAGGAGGAGGTGGCGGCGGTGGTAGTGGTGGGCTCCTGCATGACCGACCTGGTCAGGTTAGTCCGGGGCGAGTTACTGAGTCTGCGGCTTGGGGGAGGAGGTGTGCCGTGCGCTGTGCGCCCGGCGGAGCTCTTGGGCGCTGGGTCTCCAGGGATAGACCGTGCTAGCTTTGGATATGAGCTGCAGGTTTTCGCAGCCCTCAGCCTGCCTTCCCGGCATGAAAGAATTTGAGTCTGTAAAGGTAAATCTCAGGGGAGGGGACATAAGAGGCCAGGGCTTAGTGAAAGCTCTAATAGTACTAAAAGCGCTCCCCAAAGACCTTTCTTGGCCCAGCTGCTGAGCCTTTCCCCAAACGAGCCAGGGAACTTTGCCTACGTCATTTTACCTCCGAGAATGTGCCTACCTCACAGGGTTGTTGTGAGGACTAAATGAAGTAAAGTGTTTTGTCAAGCGTAACATTATCCAGTTTGGATATTATTCGTCTGAGCTTATTGTATAAAATAATGAGTCGAGCAGAAGTAAAAAAAGTCTGTCAGCTTTCCCCATGTTGATTGTCGGCATTACTGCGGTATTTTATATTTACAGCGTATTTTTCAGCAAGCCAGGTATGAATCAAAATAAAAACATAAACACAGTATTTACAACCACTGAAAACTATGATCAAATTATGATAGAAAATATGGCAAATGAAAATTGTTGAGTTAGGTCAGTAAGACTGAGTAGACAGATCCTTCTGATTTATCTTTTTTTAAAATTAAGGTAGCTTTTCTGATTATAAAAATAATGTATGTTCATTGTAAAAGTAGTAATAAATTCAGATATTCCAAGAAAATCCTACCACTCCAATTACTGCAGTTCAGTCTTTTGATGAGTATCTTTTCAGATGTAATGCTACTTTTATGTTATAAAAATGATCAGGTATACTACAGTAACACCTCATCTGTCCTGAAATGTTGCTTTTCCAAAGGGTATTAGAGAACGTGGAACTAAACAAAAAAGCCTTGGGGCAATCAAAATAAGTCACCAAATTGCTGCACCAAACCACCTGTATTCTACTCAAAAAGTCTAGGGTCTTCATGTAACCAATTTAACCTTACCTTAAAATATTTATAAGCTGTGTCGCCAAATTTCCACTGAGATTACAAAGGTGGGAGTAGAGAGGAGAGACTGCTAGAGGCAATTATAGTGACTGATGAAAACTTGAGGGTGAGTAGGAGACTATGTAACAAGAAGAAGCAACAAAAGAATTTTAAATATCAATGACCTTTATTTTTCCACAAATATTAGAACTATTTTGTCAGACACTGTGCCAAGATAAAAATACTTTCCTTTGGTGACAGAGCATAAAATTGAATCTAGTTGGAGACATTTGTTGAAGAGGCCTATACATCTTTTTCTAGAGCAAGAGTCAGTAAACTTTTCTGTAAAGGGCCAGATAGTAAATATTTTAGACTTCGCAAGCCATGTATGGTCTAGGTCACATTTTTTTAACAACATTTTTTAAATGTAAAAACCATTCTTACCTCCCAAGCCTTACAAGAACATCCTGCAGGCCATAGATTACAGACACCTGTGTAGAAAGAACATCACTGTGTTTACAACACAATATAGCAATTGCTTTTACTGGTGATGACTCTTTTCAATAAAAGGTTATATGGTACTTGTTAAATTTTATATAAAAATAGAACATGTATTTCACTTTAGAAAAAGTTTCATCAAAAATTCATAAAGTTTAGTTACATAAAGAATAAATCTTCAGTAAACCTTCATCTAAAATGATCATCCCATGCGAAATCCACCTAGCTAAATGTTTACCGTGATTTTGTATGTGAAGTGGCAGAAGAGTAAGAAAACTAAAGTGGGCCAGGTGCAGTGGCTCACACCTGTGATCCCAGCACTTTGGGAGGCCAAGGTGGGCAGATCACCTGAGGTCAGGAGTTTGAGACCAGCCCAGCCAACATGGTGAAACCCCATCTCTACTAAAAATATAAAAATTAGCTGGGCGTGGTAGCTGGCGCCTGTGATCCCAGCTACTCAGGAGGCTGAGGCAGGAGAATTGCTTGAACCTGGGAGGTGGAGGTAGCAGTGAGCTGAGATTGCGCCATTGCACTCCAGCTTGGGCGACAAGAGCAAAACTCCATCTCAAAACAAAAAAGAAAAAGAAAAGAAAATTAAGTTTTCTCATACATACTACCTGAATAAAAGTGTCAGGGTTAAAATTCAGAGCCATTTCCTTGTTACCAAACTAAGAACTTTCTGTGAAGCTTGACCATCGGATACTAAAAATAACTATAGTACTTTGTGGGGTGGGGTAGGGGAGTGGTGTCAAAGGCCCATTTTAGCATCCATCCATCAGGGTTTAAAATCTTATTTCAGAGCTAGAAAAATCTGGAAATTGTTTATTCTAGTCCTTCAGTTTTTAGATAAATAAACTGAAGCCCAAAGAAGAATTTCTCCTCTTTCCCATATTCTTTCCTTCATAAAATATCCAAGTTTCTTTTCTTCACATGAATCATTAGTACAAATTTTACTAATAGTAAAATCATTAGTTAAAATTTTTACTAATGATTCACTAATGATTAGTAAAATCATTAGTAAAAATTTTAACTAATGATTGGTAAAATCGTTAGTAAAAAATCATTAGTAAAATCATTAGTAAAAATTTTATTCCCGTATAGACCCTCTCTACTAATTCCCACAGCTTTTCAACAAACTTTTCATGGTCTCTCATTACTTATGACTCTGAAGATCTTCACAGAAATCAGAGTATAGGATTTTCATTTAAAACCCTGCATCGGTGATAAACTTGGGTGCAACTTTTCTGGTTACAGTTAGTATCATGATTATATTAGTTATCTACTGCTGCTGTAACAAATTACCAAACTTAATAATTAAGTAACGCAAGTTTATTTTTTTTACAGTTCTGGAGGTCAGAAGTCTAATACAGGTCTCACTGGGCTAAAATCAAGGTACAGCAGGGCTGGGCTCCATTCTGGAGACTCTAGAGGAGGCTCTGTTTTCTTTCCTTTTCCACCTTCCAGAGACTGCCCACGTCCTTGGTTCATCGTGGCCACTTCCTCCATCTTCAAAGCCAGCAATGGTTGTTCAGGTCTTTCTCACATCACATCACTCTGACCCCCAGTCTTCTGGCTCCCTCTTCTACATTATAAGAATGCTTGTGATTACGTTAGGCCCAACCAGATAATTCAGGATAATCTCTTTATTTTATGGTGGCTTATTAGGAACCTTAATTTCCCCTTGCCATGTAACAACATATTCACAAATTCTGGGGATTTGGATGTGGACATCCTTTGCGATAGGGGAGCAGAGAATATGTTATTTTTGCTACCACAGTGGTTAAGCTTGAAGTAAAAAATCCTACAATACTGAGTTCTCAGAGACTCTTTGAAGTCTATCATTCTATCCTCACATTTTACAGGTGAGATAAGGAAGAAAGCTTCAATAACTTACTCCAAATCACACAGCCAGTGAGTGGCATAGTAAAGGCTGCTACCCAGGTTTCCCAATCCTTACCTTTCTTTTTTATTTTTTTAAATACATATTTTCTATTTTTAAAAAAAAAAAAAAAAATGGGTTCTCGCTGTATTGCCCAGGCTGGTCTTAAACTCCTGGGCTCAAGCTATCCTCCTACTTGGCCTACCAAAGTGCAGTGGTTACAGGCGTGAGCCACCGTGCCTGGCCCCAATTCTTATCTTTCCATTATATCATTCTACCTCTAACTCTGACTAGTGTTTATTGCCCTTTTCATCTACAGTACATTTGATAGCTTGTAGTCTATACATTCATTGTTAACTTTATAAACTGATAAGGAATAACAACTAAGGATTTATAATTTTCAAGTCTAAAGATAGTATCTTTATTACTGTGCCTTATTCCTAAATTTAACTGTAACTAACCTGGACACCCATGCCTATTCTTTAGTATCACTTCAGAAATAAAACTGCTTCAATAACTAAGCCCTTTTGGATGGCATCCAAGCCCAACTTACTGTATATATTACATTACTGTATGCCAGACACTGCTAATTCAATCAATGAATAACTGTTTTTTTCATTTCTAATTTCAGTCAGCTATGAGTAATAAGTCCTGTGTAGTAATAATTTTTAAAAATCATTAGCTCATACAGCATGACAAACAATTGAAATTATTTAATATTCACTTATATTTTTCTCATTATCCTCTTCCTTCTTGAACACTCATCTCTAAAGTTACACACTACAAAGATACAAGAAATGAACCCTGGTCTTATGGGATATAAAGTCAAAGATTTTCCAAAGACAGATTTCCCCACAAAAAAAAAAAAGTGTGAACATTTTTAGACATTAGGCTCATAGGCCTTTGTTAATCATGCTTTCATTAGTAATCCTTATTTTTTTATGACCTGTATCACCCATTTTTTCAATTATTCATTTGAGGAATACTTATTGAATTTATAGTGTGTGCCAGGCACTTCCCGATGTGCAGAGGATACAGCAGTGAAAACACAGACAAAAATCCCTGCCTCATGAAGTTTACATTCTAGTAAGACAATATCAGTAGAAATAAGATAAATACATAGTATGTTAGATAAAAGCTAAGGAGAAAAATTAAACATGTAAAGAGGGATGGGAATAGGAACTTTAGATTACCGGCTTCAGAAAGCCTCACTGAAAAGGTCATTTAGAGTAAAGACCTAAAGGAGGAAGGAAAACAAGTCATAATGTGAGGGAAGAGCCTTCCAGGCAGAGGGGATAGCATACTCGAAGGCCCTGTTCAGTGAAGAACATGGAGTCCAGTGTGGCTGAAGAAGAAAAAAGGAGTCAGGAGAGAGCAATCAGTGATTAAAGAACATTGAGTCATACTCTGCATGAGATGAAAAGCTAGTGGAGGATTTGAGCAGAGGAGTGGCATAATCTTATTTTGATTTTAATAGGATCTCTCTAAGGGCTATGTGAGAATAAATAGCATGAAGGAAGGCAAATACAGAAGCAGGGAGACAAATTGAGAGTCACTCCCAACAGTCTAGGGAAGAAATGATGGTAGCTGGAAAGCAGTG